TCTTGGTCCCTCTTTCTACTTGTCAGGCAACCATCCTGCTGAGTCTATATTCAAGACAAGGTACTGCTCGCATTACTACAGACAGCCTGAATTCTGGTCTGGTATTCATCTCTAACCATTTCTCGACCTGTATCATTTTATCATTTTGAGTAAACCAATATTTGTACATTGGGTCACGGTCCATCCTTGTTCATCCGCGGCTTCCACTTCTTCTTCCATCACACAACAATAGCACAGGAGTAGGGACTGTTGGTTTCGGCCCGGTCAGTCCCTCCATCCCACACGACAAACTGGCTGTCACATACTCTACGGTTGTCCGCTCCTCGGGACAGCCTCAGCGGGTTCGCGAGGCACGGGACAGTGAACAGCCCGACGACTGTCGGTCTACGGGGTCCAGCAAGTCTGAGGGGACACAGCTTCTCCATTACCAGCAGCCCGTCCACGTCGCAGCTGTCACCCCCAGATTCTTCCCATAGCAGTCAATGGTCAGGACATCAACACCAGGAGAGTGTCGGAGAACAGACCTCAATGTCGCAGAGGGAGCGGCCTTCCTTTCAGCCATCCCGTCTCTCACTGTCACCGCAGAGCCAGGCTGCCAGTCATGAGCGAGTCGCTGCAATCCGAGACGATGGTCATGATCATTCTTCCTCCGACTATTCTCATGGCCCCGGACCAACTCTGGAAGATCGGTCTAGGCCTCCGTCCGCGCGATCTCTGGGCATAAGTGGGTTGATCAACTCTTCCGAAACATCATCAACAGCCCGACGGCTTCTCGGGCCTTCTGGGTCCCCTCGCATCGCCAACTACAGTCAACAAGGAACGCCTGCCACAACACCGTTGCCTTATGTCTTTTCAGGCCAGAGCCATGCTACGCAGGAGCCCGGTACCCCGGCCAGCCAGGCGGGCTTGACTCCTGGCGGCAACACACCCACGGAGCGACACTCGCCTGCGAATGCGTTTCCCTTTCCAGCAATGAACAGACCTCGACACTTGTTGAGCCCGCAGCCGTCGGGTCTTGGAGGGATGGGCGCTGCTGGGTTCCATCAGACGCAACCCGGGGATCACCAAGTGCCCCTTCAGCACGCTGAAGCCACCACGCGGAGGCAGTTTCGAGGGGACAGAGACGGCGGCCCTCACTACACTGGTTCCCTACCAGGCCTACCATTCACGGGACCGCACCCTCCTCTAAGCAAGCCTCAGTCTGCGTCCTTGACACCGCCGCGCTCCTCGTCCCAACCCAATCTTGGCCATTTGCCACAGCCTAGCAGCCAAAGTCGACACCCTTTTTCAACGCTGCCGCAGGAGGCCCACGAACGAACCCACGAGCCACAAACTCAACCCAGCCATCCCTTCGGCTTGCCTCCTCGGACGTACTCGACATCCATCCCACCCGGAAGCCCGGTCTGGCCAGGACCTGGACAAGGTACGCCGCTTTACAACAGCATCCGCTCGAGTGCTGCCGCGGGTGGATCTGACGGGCAAGCGATGCTCAGAATGTCACTCGGGGGTGATGGAGGATCCGTTGATGTTGTCCTTGACAACCGTCAAGCTTCCCGTCAGGCCGACGAGAAGAGGCAGCGCAACGCTGGGGCGTCCGCCCGCTTCAGGAAGCGCAAGAAGGACCAGATCGGGGCTCTGGAGTCGGAGAATGTGGATCTTAAAAGTCAGATGCAAGTTCTGATGCAAGAAAGGGAGTGGTTCCGCGCCGAAAGGGATCGTCTGCGCAACCTGCTACTCCAGACGCCTCTGGCTGAGCATGCCGCAGGGCCGAATAGCCCGGTCATTACTGCAGAGTCTGCATATGGCTCGGAAGCAAACCTCCCCAACCAGACAGGCTCAGTGGCGCAGGCACTCCAGGGCTACGGTTCGGGCGACTCGTCGGGGGAGAGGCCGGCTCGCAGGCGAAGGACAAGCGCGACGCCGACGTTCACGACTCCAACATACGGAACGCCGAACTCGACGCCGGCCAGTCTGCCTCCGATTAACGCCCCAATGTACAGCGGCATGGCTAACTCTCCCTCAATGAGGCCTGGCGAGAGGCTCCCACCCCTGCGTGCCGTTGAAGGCCACATGGGGCCCACGTCTGCAAATGTACCGAGGACATCGCCGCCTGGCATGGCACATGCAAGCCATGCCAGGGTCCCACATGAAACGGGCTGGGCAAGCCAGTCTTCAGGCCCGCCTGGACCACCCGGCTCTCAAGGCTTCCCGCCGCAGCCTGGACGGTGAAAGAAGACAACAGGAATTATACTGTCGACAGCAATCATGTGCATGGACAAGGTTGAATATCATGCACAGAAACTTCCTTTGCAATCATTTGAACCATAAGACTGGCATCGTCGGGCAACCGACACTGATTTCTCCTCTTTTCTGTCAGCGTTTTCGTCCGGGAATGGAAGTCGTGTTCGTCAACTTTGGGCTCGGAATGTGGGAGGGACGGGTACGGAGGATCTTGGTCGACTTTTACGACTACGAGCAGACAGCGTCGTCCGGCATGGAGGACCTCTGCGTTGGATCTAACGGTCAAAACAGGTGATGCTCGCCAAAGCACCACTGCACCCATACTTTCTTTTGTCTTTTTGTTTCTTGCTTGGCGAAGAAAGAAGGCTGTTGCGTGTGTGTGGTTAAGACTTCATTGCAATCCGTGCGCTATCCAGATACCAGATTGTTTACAGCGGAAAGCCGGTCATATGCCGGGTCAGGATACCTATTTGTTTCATTCGTTGGCTTGGCGAAGCACGATGGGAGGGGGATAGAAGACAGAAGACACATGTCGAGGGGCCACAGCGAGCGAGAGAGCTTTGCAACAGCCGGGTGTTATAGGGACCGGGGTTCTAGGTACATAGCACTAGACAAACGTTGCGGCCTGAAGGCAGAGTAAGGGGGTATAGTTACAGGATGCACACGCAAACAGACAAGCAGATCAAGAACCAAGGATCAAGAAACCAGTTGCACGCGGGACGAGGCTGTACCTGCGCAATAGTTGACAGCTACTCCATGGGTGTGTCTCATCGCCTGCGAGATGCCGGTGCTGGGTGATGCAGGGCAAACAAATGACATGAAAATCGACCAGATGTCCGAGGCCATGTCAGACGGCGACATGTGCCTCCTGATGAGGCGGCAAGAGTCGGCCGGTTAGCTGGTTTGTTGACTTGCTGGCTTGCTGGCTTGCATGGCTTGCTGGTCGAGTAAGCATCTGCCCCAATGAAAGTCATCCATCCCATTCGATTGTGAAGCAACCAGAATAAGGCGGGACGCGGGGGGGGGGGGGGATGGCAGGCAGATTGCATGGCGGCACGGCATGGTCAAGGCATGGCATGGCATGGCCACGGCACAACA